TATTTTCAGGGACTAGGAGGCCTTCAATAAACACTACTGAACGAATGAGTCTTCGTACATTCTTTCCATTTTTTGAAAGACCCCTCTCTCTAGGAAGCGGGATATCTCACGCTGGGTCAGAGGTCCGCCCCAGGCTTGCACCAGTGCTGCACCATGAATCGTGCCCGTGGTCCTGGACTGTGCTCAAGTGCTGTGACTCTCTCCTACCTGGGCCAATGTGTCAGTCCCAAGTTGTCTCATTACTGTTTACCAGGGCTCTGTCATGCAGCTAGAGCCTCCGCAGGAGGTCCAGAAGATCCAGACTTTTGTCCGTGCTGGGAGTGATACGTAGGATTTGCCATGTACTCCTCCTTCTATCCCCCAAACACACGCTCGTGCATGCCGCATTTTGAGTTAGCATTTATCACACTGAGTGGTAGTTATTAATTTTCAGATGTTTTCCCCGCCTCAACCCTAGACACTGGGGAAGGACTCTCTTTTGTTCCCTAGCATACAGGGGATGCTCACAGGATTTCTGGAAGGAATCCAATGTTTTCCATGAGCTTTATTGAGGACAAAACCCAACTCATAGGGGAGGGCACTACCTCTGGCTTTTTTTTTAAAATTCATTTATTTTTAGAGAGAGGGGACAGGAAGGAGAAAGAGTGAGAGGGAAACATTAATGTGTGGTTGCCTCTCATGTGTCCCCCACTGGGGACCTGGCCTGCAACCCAGGCATGTGCCCTGACTGGGAATCGAACCGGCGACCCTTTGCTTCACAGGCCTGCGCTCAATCCACTGAGCCAGGGCTTTTCTTTTTTAAAGTTGAGCCAATTTCTTGTTTAGCTTGGTTCAGGTTTTCTGTTACTGAGAACTGAAAACAATTGGCACGGCATAGTGTTCAATTATAAGATTTCTTTCTTATAGATTATTGTTCAAAAATATTTATTGTGTATTCACTCTCTCTCACTCACCTCCTTAGGAAGAATAGACTTCCTTACCCCTTATCTTTGAGCTCAGCTATGAGACTTGCTTTAGCCAGTGGGATGTTGGCGTGTACAGCAGGGATGTGAAAAGTCCTTGTACAGTGGGCATGACCCCTTGGACCAGTGCCATCTCCATAAGAAGAGTTTCCCTTAATGAACCTAGAAGGTATTATGCTAAATGGAATAAGTCTAACGGAGAAAGACAACTGCCATACAATTTCACTTTTATGTGGAATCTAAAGAATAAAATAAATAAAATAGAAATACTCATAGATGCAGAGAACAGACTGATGGTTGCCAGAGGAATGGGGGTTGGGAGGCTGGGTGAAGAAGATGAAGGGAGATTGGTAGTTACAAAATAGTCATAGGGCGATAAAAATACAGCAGAGGGAACATAGTCAATAACATTGTAATAACTATGTAAGGTGCCAGATGGGTATTTGAAATATTGCAGGGGGGGATGCTCTGAAAAGTACATGATCGTCTAACCACTATGCTGTATACCTGAAACTAATACATAACAATACTGAAAATACTGAATGTTAACTGTAATTGGAAAATTTAAAAAAAAAAGAATTCTCCCTAGATGGTTGCTGCCTTTTCAGCCAGGCCCCCAAAATGAGCAATACTGGAGCAGATCGGAGTTCAACCTGCACACAGAAGTCAAGCCCAGCTTGAAGCAGAGCTATTCAGCCAAACCTAGGCTAGATTAGTGAATGCCCAGACCTATAAGAAATGAATGTTTGTTGTGGCATGTGGCTGACGTTTTGTGGTTATTTGTTAAGAAGCAATAATCGACTGAGCAAGGTTTCCAAACTGGCAGTACATCTGAGTTACTTACAGAACTTTAAACATCAATAAGAGATACTTGAATTTCTTCCAGAAGGCCTGGAGTAGGGCTCAGAAATCTGTATTCTTTAAAAACCCGCTGGGCAGCTTTATGTAGCAAGTCCCACACTCCTCACTCTCTGACACTTTGGGGGTGGCCAGTATTAGCGCATGTGATGAGATCCTTTTAATTCTTCGATGAGAGGTCTGAAGTTAGAGGAATCCTGTTTCTGAAGTAGAGTCCTTCCTTTTCAGTTTGAAAACGTTTGAGAAATTTGTGTTGAGTTTTTCTTACCTAATCTGGAGAAAGATGCAGATGTCAATTAATTTGCAATTTATGGTCACAGGGTTTTTCCTTTTTATTTAAGAGTCATCTCCTCTTAGTATTTCTGCCTGGGCAGTGGTTAGCAGTCAAATGAAGGAAGCAGAATACCGAAGATGGGACATCCAAGACCCAGGGCAGGAAGGCAGCACCGGGGAGGTCAAGCTGACCAGAGGAGCTGCAGAAGGGGCGGCCTGACGAGGGGCACTCAGCTGCCGCTCTGCAGTCAGGAACCTGGGACCACACCGGGTTCAATATCCGGAAATTAAATTTTAGTTGTAACAACTACCAAGCCACTGGCTCTAGGTTAGAGGTTTGGTGTAAATCTTAACAAAATGTTAAATATGAATTTATATAAGAATGATGATAAAAGTATAATTTAAAAGGAAAGAGCTTTTTAAAAATATGACAATAAAAACTTCCAGTGAAAAAAGTTCAGACAAAACAGAAAAATATAAAAGACAAGTACGTATTAGTCATAAGCCCACCTTTCAGAAGTAATCACTATTAATGTACTGCTGTATATTCTCCTTGACTTTATTCCTATGGCTACATACACACACATAGATATTTTAGAAAAATAGGATTCTCTTGTACCTGCTCATTGGTATCCTGCTTTTTCTCTATATCCATAAACACTAACCCAATCATCTTCATCACAGCTACATAATATCCCAATGTACAAAGAGGCACCATATTTTATTTCCCATGGATGGACATTTAGAATATATTTCCTATGATAAAAAGGCTCTGATAAGCACTTATATATGCCTTTTATGTTCATGTCCCATTATTTCTTTAGGATAAATTACAATATGTGGAATTGCTAGATTAAAGATTAAATGTATTTTAAAGGTTTTTCTTACATGGTTGAATTGTCCTCCCTAAAATGTGTAAATTAATAGTGTTATATTTTGTCAACTCTTTTAACTATTGTTAATCATCTATACAATAAACCATTTGTGGTTTTAATTTGCTTTTTATCGCTAGAGAGTTTAAATATCTCTTTATATACTTCTTGTTTGTTTATACGATAAGGCATAAAGTACAGACGGCCTCCCATTTTTTCTCTTATGTCAACATTTTCTTCTTGGTTTATATTCGTTCTTTATATTAAGTATATTGCCTATTATTTACATTGAGAGGAATTTCCCTAATGTGGCTTTGCTTCTTGTGGATTTTTGCACATATAAAAAATTTTTATGAGTAATATTTATCAGTTTTTCAATGAGATTTAAAAATTCCTTCTCAGGTGAGAGGCAGCATAATTGAATGAAAAAGTCATTTAGTTGAAAAATGAACGAAGAGGTCTTTTAACCAATTCAGCCCATAATCACTGTGGCCTATAGCTGAGGAAGAGCACTGTGCGGGGAGTCAGATCACTTTGCCCTTCTGGGTCCCAACTTCCTCATCCGCAACACTGGGTGGGGAATGAAAACTCCCCTGTACGGATTTAAAAACAAACTGGAGAGAATGCGCTAGAATGTGCGTGAAGAGCTTTGCCTGGGTCTGGTACACAGCAAATCCTCTCTCTCTCTAGCTGTCATTAGTGAGAGAGGGAATATAGACTCTTCTGTTGACAGGGAGTAAATGAAAACAGGAGGCTTTGGCTAGAAATAAATGAGAAAGAGTTATTCAAGTGTTTTAGGGTTTGCAAACCACAGATACAACAGGCAATATCAGATTAGTCGAGAGAAGAAAGAAAAGCTGAGGGTTCTTGCAGTGAAAAGGACATTCTGCAGAAGAATCAGTGCTGGGTGGGTCTTAGATGATAATCCTGTAGATCGGCGATTTTTAACCTTTTTCATCTCAGGCCATACATAAACTAATTACTAAAATTCTGTGGCGCACCAAAAAATATATTATGTTTTTTTGCCACTCTGACAAAAAATGTATAATTTTGATTCATTCAAACCACATGGCTATTGTTGTGTTGGCTGTTGTCACTTTAAAAAAAATTGACAATCTAAGGGGAAAGAGGTCAATGCCTCTGACTAAATAGTCACATATTGCATGTTTAAAAAATTCTTGCAGCACACTGATTGAAAATCGATGTTCTAGATGACCAGTGGTCTGGATAATGGATGTCAGGTGATGGGACATTCTGGGTACGTGAACATTCTCTCCTTGGTCCTTCAGGGGGTTATCAGAGGGTTACCTGGCGGTTTGATGCATACTATATCCCCATGCAGGACTAGAAAGTTCATAAAAGTTCAAGTTCCCAGGCTGGTTAAAACAAGAATAGAATTGTTTCCTCAATCTTCTTGCTTTTAGTAATTTGGCAGCTTGACTACGGTGACTCCCTTTACCCCTTACTTTAAAACAGTATTTTAAATTCAGCTGGTGTATGTGGAAATGGGGTGGGGGTGAGGATCCTAGAATTTAGCAATTTACTCCCATCTCTAAAAACTATACATAGCTTAGTCGGAACTTGGGTTCCAATTCTGTTCCTGCCCATTTCTTGCTCTGCGACCTTGGACAAGTCACCTTCACCTCTCCAGGGCTCAGTTTCTTTACCTAGAAAAAAAAAAAGATAATAGAACACTTGCCCTCCTCTCCCATCCAGCTGCTGGCCGAAGGAAAGGCTTCAAAGCGCCCACGATGGACGGCAACAGTGTCTGTTAGGGTAATGCCTACGGTGCACCCCGGCTTGGCCAGCCCACGGAGGCCGGACCGCGGGGTGGCCGCGACCCCCGCCCTCCGCGCTCCCGCCCGCCGCCGGAACAATAGCTCCCCTGGAGGCGGCGCCGGCCACGGGCGGAGGCGGAGCTGCCAGCGCGGGCGCTGGGGGTGTGCGCGGGGCGGGGTCGCAGCCACCCCTCCCGCCCGCGGCTCTGTCACGCGCCCCTCACCGGGCCGGCTGGGGTCTTTGTGAAGCGCTGGCGTCGGCCTCGGACACAAAGGGAAGGCGAGGAGGCGAGTCGGGGGCTGGGCCCGCCCCCGCGACCCCTACCCGCCGCGCGCGCCTGCTCGCTGCCCGAGCCTCGGTCTCCCCTACGTGGGCTCGCACCCTCGCGCGCACCCTCGCGCGCCCACGACCCTCGCACGCGCCCCGACCCTCCGACTGTGTACGGAGTGCGGCTGGCCGGGGCCTAGCGGACGCTGCGGGTGGGACGGGGATGCTGAAGGACTGCACCCGGGCGCAGCGGCGCGGCTGCTGAGAGTCGCGGTGGCAGCGGCGGGGCTCTCGGCGCGCGGCTGGATGCCCCGGGCCTGCAGCTCCCTGCGCTTCCCGCCGTCCAGGGGCGCCAGCCATGGGCGCCGCGGCCACTGAGGCGCCTCTCCGGCTGCCTGCCGCGCCCCCACTCGCCTTCTGCTGCTACACTTCGGTGCTTTTGCTCTTCGCCTTCTCGCTGCCCGGGACCCGTGCGTCCAACCAGCCTGCGGGTGGCGGCAGCGGCAGCGGCGGGGAGTGTCCCGGCGGCAAAGGCAAGAGCATCAACTGTTCAGGTAGGACCGGCCGGAGCCTGTCCCGGAGGCCCCTCCTTCCTCCGTTGTCTAAACCCCTCTCTCCCAGTCCCGGAGGCCAGTCTGGGAAAGGCCCGGCGTGGAGGTCCCGGGGAGCGGGGCCGGAGGACGATTGAGGGCGTTCGAGGGTGGAGGACCGGGCTCGAGCTCGCCGTGCGGACTTGGGGACCGGCGTTGGGAATGGGGAGTGGCCGTGTGTGAGCCCGTGTGTGTCGAGTGGCCGGGCGAGGGTGGCGGGGCGTGTTGGGAGGTGGTGAGGCCCGGACCCAGCGAGGCGCAGGCAGCTGGCCGGGGCTCGCGGTGTGATCGTGGGTGTGCACGCGGGAGCGCGTGTTTGTGTTGTGAAGGCTCAGGGGAGGGAGTGCAGCCCCAGGCAATGATTGTGTGTGTGTGTGTGTGTGTGTGTGTATGTGTGTACGTGTCTGTGGGTGTCGGTGAGGGGTGGGGGCAGAGGCTGAGGGCTGGAGGAGTGACCAAGTGCTGGGGAGGTTCTGCCTCAGGGCACTGGGGTCTGGAACGGCTGGTGTGAGTGAAGGGAACCAGAGGCCCAGAGGACGAAGATTGGCGATGTAGAGTCACTACGTGTGTGTGTATGTATGTATGTACGTACGTATGCATGTGTATGTATGTCCTTTGGGTGCATAGGTGAGCGCGCTGGGGGGTTGGGTGACTTCGGGTCTGTGGGTCTGAGCATCGAATAGTTCTGGGGCCCAGGAAGTGACCCTGTGTGTTTTCGTGTGTTGTACGTGGGTGAAACCTGGGGCTCGAGGACATGCCCTAGGATATGAGTTTGAGTTTGAAGGATGCGGGTCCTGGAGTGAACCCCGTTGTGTCCACTTAGAGGGAGGAAACTAGGGAGTCATCCTGTGTAGGGTTTGGGTAATAGAAAGAGGTAGTTAGGTCTCAGGCAGTGCTTCCAGTAGCAAGGTGCGACCCTGGGTTTTTAAGGTGGTGTGAAAGGAGGGAATGATCCTGTGTGTGTATTTGTGTGTTTTGCTGGAGGGCCTGGAGATTGGCAGCAACGGGAGCTAGGGAGTGACCTCTCCCCTTACTCTGAGGCCGCTTGCACCCCCCCCCCCCCCCCCCGCAGCTGTTAGAAACAAAGAGCTTGCTGGGGCTCTAATGGATGGATGAGAGGGGAGGAGGGTATTCAGGCCGTGAAGTCCCCTCTTCCTTTCAAAAGGGGTCCCAGAGGAGCCCTGGGGTTAGGAGACGCTTCCAGGTCTCATTTAGGGGTGGGTGGGTCCTCCTGGAGCTGGCCCAGCAGATGCTAGTGATCATAAGCCACAGCCTTGCTAACTTCCCCTTTTATCAATTCTCAATTCTCCATTTGTCTTCTTTAAACTATGGGGATGGGACAAGAGACTGGGCAGGAGGGAGGGGGAGAGGCAGGGGGAGGGGAAAGGGGAGGATGAACATCAGGTCTCTGGGGACCCACTGGCTGGCCTGCCAGGAAACCTTTGTACCTTTGGGCCGTGGAAGGGGCTTTGTTTCTCGGGAAGTGGGGAGGAAGCAAGTGGCCTTAGCACAGACTCTTGCGCTACCCTAAATGCAAAAAACCTTTGGCCAGCAGTTTAGGTTTGGAGGTCTCAGGTCTTTTAATGATTTTCATAATGGTATGTTTTATGATGGGGACAAGGTTTTGAGCACACTCCACAATGGGATGTCCATTAAAAGCTTTTCCATCCATGTAATAACTTTTACTTTATTTTTCTAATGTTAAATGGAATAATGTTTTAATAAGTAATCACACACTAATGGTTGAGAATAAAAACCATTTGTATTTAGAGTGCCTTTTGGTAACATGTTGGTTATCAAACTTGTAAGTGATCACACCATGTCAAAATATTTTATGGGCTAATGTGCTGTAGTCATTTGTTCTTGCTAAGCTATTTTTTCCTTAGCAAAATGTAGTGTTGATGGATGTGTTTGTGTATGCTTTCTAACTCAAGTACACAGTACAAATTTTAAGAAAGGACATCAAGGTCCAGAAACCATGTGGTGTGGGAAAAGGGGACTGATTTGAGGATCATGGCCCTTGCTAAGCAGCTGTGTTATTTGGAGCAAATTACTTAATTTCCTTAGTTTTCTCTTCTGTTAAAAGAAGGACTTGGATTTAATAATATCTGAGCCTTCTTAAAGGATTTATTGATATAAATGTCAACGAATTAGGCTGGTCAAATAAAATGTTTTCTGATGCTAAGAGACATCTGAGTAACTCTGAGCCTAAACTAGAGTTTTAACTAAATTACATTTGTAGATTCTTATTAGATTCTTGTTAGGATGAAGACCTGGGAATGATTCATATGGGGAAAAAAATTCAAGTTGATTAATTAGAGAATTAGAGTAATTGGGTCTGGACATACACATCTATTAATGCATCTTGATTATGTAGATATTTTTGTGTAACTTCTATTGCCCGGGTGTTTTCTACATTTACTCCTTTATATATTTGAATTTTAAAATCTCAGTGCTGGCCCTGGCGCCCTGTTGGTTTTCAGTTTTGGTTTTGGACCCTAATTTCAGCCTACCCACCTTTCTGGAGGCTGATCCTCTTAGGCCGTGTGTGGTGGGTCACTCACAGCTGTGTGGCCCTGGCAAATGCGAACAGCTTGTCTGTGGCTCTACTAAATTAATGGAAGTCGTCTAGATCATGGAGAAGGATGGAATTCTGTGGCATTTTACTGGAAACATCCTTCCAAAGTGCTCGATGTTGATGTGTTAATCAACCTGACATTCTCCCAGCCAGCTACCCATCTTCCTAGAAGAGTTTAACAGATTTTCGAGCCTCTGTGCTCAACATTGTTCATTTTTTCCAGCAGCCTATCATGAACGATTCTGTTAGATTGATTGCCTTGTTGGAATCAGTCATGGATATGTATGTATTGTCCTCCCTTTTTTTCATTTTAGTAATCTTATTTAAAAAGCAAATGTCGTGTACCCTGCCTTACTAAAGACCTCATGGTGGTTTTTTCTCATCGTTGTGTTCAGAAATTTATGTACCCATTCTATGCAGTTTAGGGATTATGTTGCAAGTTTACCTATAAATGTTTTTCTGGGTTTGCATTTCTCCCTTTTTGAAAATTGAGAATGCACTCTCTTGTTCCTGGTGTTTTTGGCGCCCGGTCAAGGTGGCTTAGATAATCAGCAGTCAGATCTAAAAGTTTTTCAGTATCATGAGGTGTGATTTGTTTGGATCATAAAGCCAATTCTTTTGAGCTAGCTCTGTATTCCATTACTGTCCATTCTCCATGACACTTACTTTACATGGTGGCATAGAGAATGGTTAGTTAGCTCCCTTTTTTATCAGAACTCTGCTTCCCAGTTTGAAGATCGTACTTCTAGATGAAGAGAAACACAGCGAAGAAGAAGCTGAATGGGTCTGCATTTGTCCCTGTCATCTCTTGATATTACATCATCCTCCCTAAGCAGGGAGCCCTTTGTTTAGCTCCTCTTATTCTAAACAAGCTTTACTTATTTATTTTTTAAAATTTTCCTCTTGCCTCAGCTCTCTGATCATCATTCTGGACTTTATAGTTACTGCTCTACTTGTGTTTATTCTTAAAAATATAACTTAGTAGAAAGTTCCCTGATCATCTAAAGAGAAGAGTTGAGAAATGCGTGATTTATGTGAAGAAAGATGAACATTGAAGAAAGGTGACCTTAGACATTGACATTTTTTCTTATTTATAACATGAAGATAATGATAATGGTCCTTTTTGGCTCTAGAGTGAGAAGGGAGGAGGAAGCTAAATACGTGAGATATTTCTGTCTTAGGGAATGTGGTTAAAGAGGTAGAAAAACATACTGAGAGGCTATTAAGTCACATTGGGTGATAGACAAGGTAGAGAGTTTGAAGTAGGTTTTAAAAACGTCGGGAGAGTTAGAAGTGTGTGCTCTCCATTGTGGTACAGTGGTAAAGCTGGTATAAATGCATAGCATATACTTTAGATTAAGAGAGGTGCCTTCTCTTAGATTAGTGGCAGTGCAGGATTCGGGGATAAAAAGTGAGTTTTCCCTGATTAGCGTGGAATCTTGGTAGGGGCACTTCTCTATCCCTGGTGGGTATTTATTAATTTATTTAGTGAACCTTGATTGAATACCGATTTAGTGTAATCAGATATAGTAGATGTTAAGGGAATACTGTTTCTGATAAGCCATCCCTGCTTTTGAGGGCCATATCTTCCCGAAAGAGGTGGTTATTCGTCTCTTGTAAATACATACACTGGGAATTCCCGTTCGACACATCTGGGCTTTCTCCCCTCATCAGTAAGCATTTACTGAACCCTGACAGCACCGACATTTTTTTAAGGTATGCAATTAAGTGTTTTCAGAATATTCACAAAAGTGATGCAACCATCGCCAGCATCTAATTCCAGAACGTTTTCATCACTCCCAGTGCCCCAAAGAAACCCCCATATACATTGATAGTCATTATGTGTTCTCTCCCCCCAGCCCCTGACCACTTACTCTTTTTTCTGTCGCTATGGCTTTGTCTGTTTTGGACATTGCGTATAAATGGAGTAATGCAATATATGGCCTTTTGTGATTGGCTTCTTTCACTTAGTATGTTGTTTTCAAGGTTTGTCATGCTTACGTGGATCAGGACTTCGTTCCTTTCTATGGATGAGTAATATTTCATTGTATGGACAGATACATTTCATTTATCCATTCATCAGCTGATGGACATTTGAGTTGTTTCCACTCTGGCTATTATGAACAATGCTGCTCCGAACATTCATATACAAGTTTGCGTGTGGACATGTTTTTAGTTCTCTTGGGTGTGCACCTAGGGACGGAATTGCTGGGTCCCATGGTAACTCTGTGTTTAACATTTGGAGGAATGGCCACACTTTTCCCCCAAGTGGCTGCACCATTTTACGTGTTTAACTAGCAATGTCTGAGGGTTCCAGTCTCTTCACATCCTCTTCAACTCTCGCAGTTGTCCTTTTGATTATAGTCATGATAGTGAGTGTGAAGTT